CTCAAGCTGTCCCCTGGGTAGAGTGCTGTGGCATCACAGCTCACAGCAACCTCCAACTCCTGGGCTCAAGTGAGTCTCCTGCCTCAGCCTCCCAAGGAGCTGGGACCACAGGCACCCACCACAATGCCCAGCTATTTTTCTTTCTTTTTTCCCTTTGCAATTTTTTTATTGAAAAAAATTAGGTCATATGTTTTGTAGCATTCTCATGTGGATTTTGCTAATTTATAATCACTAAAATATCATTTAATGTGGACACTCATCTATTTCCTTTGAACTGGCAGTTAAAACTAAAGCTGTGGTCAGATTCAGGCTGGATGTTTTGGGTAAGAATCAAGTGTTTGCTATACACTACTTAGCGTGTGACATCAAGAAGCACATTACTGACTGTCTGATTCTGAGATTAGGAAAAATTAGTGGGTTTAGATATATTTGGCCTATTTCATCCATTGTGAAGTTCCTTATCAGCTTTTCACTTAATTTTTAAAAATCAGTTATTGATGATGAAAATCAATTAGTGTAATCTATTACTTCATTAGGGATTGCAAATGGTGATACGTCATCATTTAGTGGCTTGAATACTTCCATAAGAAAAAACAACTTTTCTCCCATAAATTATTTGGTTCTTTTGAGGTTCAGTTCATGAAGGAACGTTAGAATAAATGTTTCATCCTTTTTTTTTTGTTTGTTTATCAGTTTTCAGAGATATGAGGTGGATCCTTAGTATCTATCAAAGTTGACTTATCAAAGATGTTTTCTTCCTTTGGTAGTATTTAGGAATTCATGGAGTTTAATACATTTGATGTGTTAAAATGTACCACAGTTAATATTCTTTTTGATGCTCAAATTATTCTATCACTGGCCAATGGCAGGGTCTTCAAATTGGCTCCTAAAGTTTTCCCCTGAGCACAGACTTTGATAGCTTCCTTGTTTTTGGTGTAATGAAATGTTTCTGGCTTTTATGTTTCCTGCCTTATATCTGGAACCAGGCCTGATTTCTTTTAGTTGAAAATGTTATTTAGAGATTATAATCTTCTAGATACTGAGGTAGCTCACTGCTGTTGCACTGGTGGTCATTGTTTCTAGGCTTTTTCAGTATAAAGGCTGGGAAAATGTATTTAAGAGAAAATATATCATGTGATATATTTTCAATTAAATATTTTTCAGTTTTTAACTTTCCATTAAAACTAAGAGTTAGGCTTGGCGCCTGTAGCACAGTGGTTATGATGCCAGTCACATACACCGAGGGTGGTGGGTTTGAACCTGGCCCAGAACCAGTTAAACAACAGGCAACAAAAAAATAGCCAGGCTTTGTGGTGGATGCCTGTAGTCTCAGCTACTTGGGAGGCTGAGGCAAGAGAATCGCTTAAGCGCCTGTGGTCCCAGCTACTTGGGAGGCAGAGGCAGGAGACTCGCTTGAGCCCAGGAATTGGAGGTTGCTGTGCTGTAATACCACGGCACTCTGCCCAGGGGGACAGCTTGAGGCTCTTTCTAAAAAAAAAAAAAAAAAAAAGAATGGCCTCCCCAGATTCCTCTCCCTCAGAAGTTCCCAAGCCTGTCAAAACATGCAAACAGATGGCTAAGGAAAGGGTAAGTGGTTCCTAGTTACACCAGTACAAAGTGCTCTGTTATATACCTATTTGCCAAGAAAAAGGTCTGGGAGGATATACACAAATTTATCAACAGTGGCTATCTTTAAGTGTTCTGTAAGTTTTTCCTTTTCTTTTTTTCCTTATCTTCGTGATTTTATAATCTTCTTTAATGGACAGGGTTTTTTTGGGTTTTTTTGAGACAGAGTCTCACTTTCTCACCCTGGGTAGAGAGCTGTGGCATCATAGCTCACAGCAACCTCCAACTCCTGGGCTTAGGTGATTCTCTTGCCTAAGCCTCCCAAGTAGCTGGGACTACGACTACAGGTACCCACTACAACACCCAGCTATTTTTTTTTTTTTGCAGTTTGGCTGGGGCCAGGTTGAAACCTGCCACCCTCGGGTTCACAGGTGCCGCCCAGGGTTTGTTTTTAAGGTAGGGAAAAAGAAAACAATTTATGAAGTTAAAACAAAAAATATTTAAGTACCAAGAACATTGTTGAGCACCATTTCCTTAAAAAGCAAACTGTAAAAACAATTTCTGACAAATTCACAGTCATCTGGCCTCTTATATGCCCCCATTGCCAACCATCTTCCTATCCCATTAGCACTTACATTCCTGAAGACATTCTGTGTCTGTGCAGTAGGACTGGGACTGCCGCAACTACAATGAATAAGAGGAAAGGAAAGTTAGCTGCTGGATTTAACCACAAGTGGACAACCATTATTAGAAGGATCTGGTGACACCCATAGCTCAGTGGGTAGGGTGCCAGCCACATACATCAAGGCTGGTGGGTTCAAACCCAGCCCAGGCCAGCTAAAACAACAATGACAACTACAACAAGAAAAAAAATAGCCGGGCGTTGTGGCGGGCGCCTATAGTCCCAGATACTTGGGAGG